GGTTAGAAGGGGTGTCTGTACTGGGGGGTTGGTGTGTATTGAGTGGGTGGTTAGAAGGGGTGTCTGTACTGGGGGCTAAGGGCTGTGGGGTGAAATATGCCCTGGGAGGAGGCTAAGAGGTTTATGAGCCCTAAAAGGTGAGAATCTGGTGTGAGCAGAGGTGCCCAAATATGAAGAAGAAGCTGAGAAATGGATTTTCCATTGATTCAATATTTATTGCTCACAGAATAATATAAAACACCGTCAACGCGTTTCGTGGCACAACACTGGCCACTTCCTCGGGATGGGGCATAAAACACTGATAAACAAAAAATATATGTAGGTAAAAGGATATACTCTATATTGCCAAACGTATTGGGCCCGCCCTCCACATCACGTGATTCCGGGTGTTCTAATCCCCTCCCAATCATGTGATTTAGGTGCTCCAATCCCCTCCCAATCATGTGATTTAGGTGTTCCAATCCCCTCCATAGCATGTGATTCAGGTGTTCCAATCCCCTCCATGGACACAGGTGTATACAATCAAGCCCCTAGGCATGCAGACGGCTTCTACAAACATTGGTGAAAGAATGGGTCGCTCTCAGGAGCTCAGTGACTCCAAGCGTGGTCCCGTGATAGGTGGCCACCTGGGCAATAAGTCCATCCGTGACATTTCCTGGCTACTAAATATTCCACGCTCAGCTGTTAGTGGGATTATAACAAAGTGGAAGCAACTGGGAACAGCAGCCACTCAGCCACCAAGTGGTAGGCCACGTCACATGACAGGGCGGGGTCAGCGCATGCTGAAGTGCACAGTGCGCAGAAGTCGCCAACTGTCTGCAGAGTCAATAGCTAAAGACCTCCAAACTTGGTGTGGCCTTCAGATGAGCCCAACAACAGTGCGTAGAGAGCTTCATGGAATGGGTTTCCATGGCCGAGCAGCTGCATCCAAGCCTTCCATCACCAAGTGCAATGCAAAGCGTTGGATGCCGTGGTGTAAAGCACACCGCCACTGGACTCTAGAGCAGAAGAGACGTGTTCTCTGGAATGACCAATCACGCTTCTCTGTCTGGCAATCCGATGGACGTGTCTGGGTTTGGCAGTTGCCAGGAGAACAATACTTGCCTGACTGCATTGTGCCAAGTGTAAAGTTTGGTGGAGGGGGGATTATGGTTTGGGGGTGTTTTACAGGGGGTGGGCTTGGCCCCCTAGTTCCAGTGAAGGGAACTCTTAAGGTGACATTTTGGACAATTTCATGCTCCCAACTTTGTGTGAAGAGTTTGGGGATGGCCCCTTCCTGTTCCAACATGACTGTGTTTGCACTTTGCATACTGGCCTATGCATTAAGTGTTTGCACCCCTGCACATTCTGTGCAATAACCCCTGCTGACCCATGCACTTTCTGCATTATGTATTCCTGACACCTGCGCTCTATGTGCTAACACTCCTGCACTCCTGAACCCTGTACATTGTACATTATGCACTTCTGACCCCTGCACTCTGTGCATTACACACTTCTGACCCCTGCACTTTGTGCATTGTGCACTTCTGACCCCTGAACTCTATGTGTTGCATACTCCTGAATCCTACACTTTATGGGTTATGCACTCCTGACCTCTGAACTCTGCACATTATGCATTCTTGAACCCTTCACATTACACATTCCTGACCCCTGCACTCTGAGTATTATGCTCTTCTGAGCCCTCCATTCTGTACATCATGTGCTCCTAAGCCCAGCAATCTGTGCATAACACAGTCCTGACCCCTGCACTCTGTCTAATAACCCTCCTGAGCCCTGCACTCTATATGTTATACACTTCTGAGACCTGCGCTCTGTGAGTTACACACACCCCTCAGTCTGATGAACTCCCCTGCAGTCTATGGCTATGAACTCCTGACCCCTGCACTCTGTGGCTATGACCCCTGCACTCTGTGGCTATGAACTCTGTGGCTGACCCCCTGCACTCTGTGGCTGACCCCCCCTGCACTCTGTGGCTATGAACTCCTGACCCCTGCACTCTGTCTAATAACCACTCATGACCCCTGCACTCTATATGTTATACACTTCTGAGACCTGCGCTCTGTGAGTCACACACTCCTGACCCCCGCACTCTGTCCATCATGCACATCTGATGCCTGAACTCTGTTCGTTGCACACTCCTGAGCCCTGCACTATAGACACTATGGGGTGGATTTGCTAAAGGCAAATAGACTTTGAACTCTGCAAGTGCAGTTGCTCCAGAGCCTAGTAAATGAGCAGAAGCTCTGCTGACTTCCATCATCCAATCATGGGCAAAACAGCTGTTTTTTTTTCCCTTGCACCTGATTGGGTGTTTTATGCAAAGGGAAGCTTTACCTCATTTACTAAACCCTGGAGCAACTGCACTTGCAAAGTGCACAGTCTATTTGCTTGTAGTAAATAACCTGTATGTTGTACACTTCATACTCCTGACCCCTGCACTCTGCATGCTGGACCGTGTACACCGAGAGCAGGCTCTATTTTTACTTATTTGGCCACAACCACCATTCAGTTCGGGGTGCAAATCACCGGCCTCACTCTTCCCCTCCGGGGTCCCAGGTCCTTCACAATCCTCACAACATCCGAATACACGGATTGGCCGTCAATGTAAAGACAAATGTTTAGCAAACTGCAGACATTTGGCTCTATTGACGCTTGCTGAATGCCTGCTGATGTGTTCACGTGAGGGTTTAGGAGCCAAGTGGACTTCCCACTGTGGCTTGTAGACCAGACAGCGCTTGTCCCTGCGGGCAGTCTGAGTTCTGTTCGATGCTGAGATGTATGTGCAGCCAAAACATGTTCTTTAGTTTATTAGCTGAACTAGAAAAAAAAGTCATATTATAATTGGCATTGTCTTGTCTGCAGTCGTCCAATCAGAATATCATCCTTGCACCTAAAAACACCATATGGCCAAATGGTTGTAGGCACCTGACCATCACACCTGACTGAGCTGTAGACTGCCCATTCCAAAACCACGGCCATTAATATGGAGCTGCCCCTCCCCACCATGGCCATTAATATGGAGCTGCCCCTCCCCACCATGGCCATTAATATGGAGCTGTCCCTCCCCACCATGGCCATTAATATGGAGCTGCCCCTCCCGACCATGGCCATTAATATGGAGCTGCCCCTAGCCACCATGGCCATTAATATGGAGCTGCCCCTCCCCGACCATGGCCATTAATATGGAGCTGCCCCTCCCCACCATGGCCATTAATATGGAGCTGCCCCTCTCCACAACGGCCATTATTATGGAGCTTCCCCCCCACTGCCACCATTGCCCCTCCCCACCACGGCCATTATAATGGAGCTGTCCCTCCCCCCACCATGGCCATTAGTATGGAGTTGCCACTCTCCACTACAGCCAATAATATGGAGCTGGCCCTCCCCACCATGGCTATTAATATGGAGCTGCCCCCCCCACCATGGCCATTAATATGGAGCTGCCCCCCCCACCATAGCCATTAATATGGAGCTGCCCCTCCCACCATGGCCATTAATATGGAGCTGGCTCCCCCGTTGCTATTGATATGGAGATGCTCCTCCCCACCATGGCCATTGTTATGGAGATGCTCCTCCCCACCATGGCCACTAATATGGAGCTGCCCCTCCCCACCATGGCCATTAATATAGAGCTGCCCCTCCACACTATGTCCATTAATATGGAGCTGCCCCTCCCCACCATGGCCATTAATATGGAGCTGCCCCTCCCCACCATGGCTATTAATATGGAACTGTCCCCCACACACAGCATGGCAATTAATATGGACCTGCCCCTCCCCACTATGGGCATTAATATGGAGCTACCCTCCCCCAACATGTCCATTAACATGGAGTTCCCCCCCACCATGGCCATTAATATGAATATGCCCCTCCCCACCATGGCCATTAATATAGAGCTTCCTCTCCCCACTATGGCCATTAATATGGAGCTGCCCCTCCCCACTACAGCCATTAATATGGAGCTGCCCCTCCCCATCACAGCCATTAACATGGAGCTGCCCCTCCTCAACATGGCCATTAGTATGGAGCTGCCCCCCCCATGGCCATTATTATGGAGCTGCCCCTCCCCAACATGGCCACTAATATGAAGCTGTCTCTCCCCACTATGGGCATTAATATGGAGCTGCCCCTCCTCAGCATGGCAAATAATATGGAGCTGCCCCCCCCCCCACCACCATGACCATTTATATGGAGCTGCCCCCCACCACCACCACCACCACCATGGCCATTGATATGCAGCTGCCCCTCCCCACCATGGCTATTAATATGGAGCTGCCCCTCCCCACCATGGCTATTAATGTGGAGTTGACCCATTTGTGTCTATTACATCCTCTGCTCTTCTGGGAAGACTTTCCACAAGATTTTGGAGGGTGTTTGTAGGAACTTGTGCCCATTTCTGAGGTCAAGTACTGTTGCTGGATATGAAGACCTGGCACATGGTCAACATTCCAATTCATCCCAAAGGTTCTCACAAGGGTTGAGGTCGGGGCTCTGTGCAGGAAACCTGAGTCCCTCCACACCAAACTGGTCACACCATGTCTGTATAGAGCTGGCTTTGCACACAGGGCACAGTCATGCTGGAACAGAAAAGGGACTTCACCAAACTGTTACCACAATTGTCTAAAACAGACTTTTTGAACCTTTTTACCTACAGGGAACCTTTAAAATATTGCTCAGGTCTAGAGGAACTCCAGCTAAAACCAATTCATTGGAGCTCATTGGGAAATTGCCCTTTTCTGGTGGTCAGGATGGCACCTTTGCAGACATCTGATCACTGGTGTCATGTCTCTTACATTGATGGTTAGTGGGAAGAATGTCCCTTACATTGGGGGTCAGTGGGAAGAAATGTCCCTTACATTGGGGGTCAGTGGGAAGAATGTCCCTTACATTGGTGGTCAGTGGGAAGAATGTCCCGTACATTGGTGATCAGTGGGAAGAATGTCCCTTACATTGGTGATCAGTGGGAAGAATGTCCCTTACATTGGTGATCAGTGGGAAGAATGTCCCTTACATTGGTGGTCAGTGGGAAGAATGTCCCTTACATTGGTGATCAGTGGGAAGAATGTCCCTTACATTGGGGGTCAGTGGGAAGAATGTCCCTTACATTGGGGGTCAGTGGGAAGAATGTCCCTTACATTGGTGGTCAGTGGGAAGAATGTCCCTTACATTGGGGGTCAGTGGGAAGAATGTCCCTTACATTGGTGATCAGTGGGAAGAATGTCCCTTACATTGGGGGTCAGTGGGAAGAATGTCCCTTACATTGGGGGTCAGTGGGAAGAATGTCCCTTACATTGGGGGTCAGTGGGGAGAATGTCCCTTACATTGGTGGTCAGTGGGAAGAATGTTCCTTACATTGGTGGTCAGTGGGAAGATTGTCCCTTACATTGGGGGTCAGTGGGAAGAATGTCCCTTACATTGGTGATCAGTGGGAAGAATGTCCCTTACATTCGTGATCAGTGGGAAGATTGTCCCTTACATTGGGGGTCAGTGGGAAGAATGTCCCTTACATTGGGGGTCAGTGGGAAGAATGCTCCCTACATTGGGGGTCAGTGGGAAGAATGTCCCTTACATTAATATTCAGTGGGAAGAATGTCCCTTACATTGGTGATCAGTGGGAAGAATGTCCCTTACATTGGTGGTCAGTGGGAAGAATGTCCCTTACATTGGTGATCAGTGGGAAGAATGTCCCTTACATTGGTGGTCAGTGGGAATAATGTCCCTTACATTGGTGGTCAGTGGGAAGAATGCCCCTTACATTGGTGGTCAGTGGGAAGAATGTCCCTTACATTGGTGGTCAGTGGGAAGAATGTCCCTTACATTGGTGATCAGTGGGAAGAATGTCCCTTACATTGGGGGTCAGTGGGAAGAATGTCCCTTACATTGGTGGTCGGTGGGAAGAATGTCCCTTACATTGGGGGTCAGTGGGAAGAATGTCCCTTACATTGGTGGTCGGTGGGAAGAATGTCTCTTACATTGGTGGTCATTGGGAAGAATGTCCCTTACATTGGTGGTCAGTGGGAAGAATGTCCCTTACATTGGGGGTCAGTGGGAAGAATGTCCCTTACATTGGTGGTCATTGGGAATAATACTCCTTACATTGGTGATCAGAATGCCACTCTTACAGAACAGCTAAAAAAGATTATTGGTGTCATGCAGCTGGCTGTGTCAAGTGGCATTGGCATTGGAATTTTTCAGGCACCTTTAAATAGGAGGTCAACCAGCCACAGTTGAAGAAACCCCTTTGGAGGAACCTTAGAATTCCACAGAACCCTGGTAGAGAATGTCTGGTCTAAAATGTCTTTGTGTGCTGTATTATGAACAGTAATCCTGAACTCCATCATCTGGATGGGGGTGGGGTGGGGTTCACATACTTTCAGCCATAATGCGTAGACGCACAGTAGATATTTACCCCTAACTGCACATAGGTGACGACAACTACCCTCTCAGCTTCATTTCCATTAAAAGAATGGGTGTTCGCCCTGCTCTAGTATTTTATTATTATTTTATTTATTATTATTTTCCATTCAATTTTTATTTTTATTTTAAACCACTTGACCTCTGGAAGGTTTTATTTAAAAAAAAAATTGTTTTTTGAATGTATTATTTTTTATTTTATTATTGTTTTTTTATTATTATTATTATTATTATTATTATACAGAAACTGCCCTACTAAAACTTACTAACGATCTACTAACTGCTAAAACCAATAGCCATTACTCCATACTCCTACTCCTTGACCTTTCCGCTGCCTTTGACACAGTCAACCACCCGCTCCTCCTCAGTAAACTCCACTCCATCGGCCTACGTGAATTTTTATGAATGAGGTTACTTTACCCTCCTCCTTGGTCACCAGTCGCTGTCATTGAACGGTTCCGGCTCTCAGCGGCTGTCAGCGGCGGCTCTCAGTACAGACATTTTGCTGTCAGACACGTGAAGAGTATCAGCCGGTTACCAGAATGTTCTGTCCTTTCCACTTTGTCTCCACAATTAGGTACGCAGAGATAGGAGCAGGAACATTTCATCTCAACATATTTATGGCCCTCTGCTGCTTGTTATACCTTTCATCAGCGATGGATAAAAATTCTCCGATGAAATGGTTGGCGGAGCGTCTGAAGACTGAAGAGCCGACATGTGAATTAGTCATGTTAATGCATCCGTAAAAAAAAAAAAGAATATTCGATCTTCAGATTAATGACATCGAAGAGGGATAAATATAGAAGAGGATATATTCCTGGATGATTCTAGTAGAAGGTCAACATAAACAGCTCACCCAAGTAAATGTGCCAACATCCCTCCGACTATATCAGAAAATGATGATGATAAGGACCACTTATATAAAAACTATCCTGTGTTATAAACACACAAGAAACATCAAATCGTTTATTGTCACCGAGAGAAAAAATAATTATTGTAAAGTCTAAAACAGAAGAGGAAAAGGGAAACGCATGACTTCACCAGACATGTATAACAGGGTCACCAAAGATGATAATCCTCTAATACACTATATAATACACTCTAATACACAATATATTTAATGTGATCTTAAAGAGGAACCCATGTAATATTTTTTTGTTTCCTGGTAAAAACACACTTACTAGTCCATGGAGTCCGTCATTGTCCTCCTTCAGCCGAATGTTCTTTTTTGTCGTTGTGCTCCAGCAGCTTCTTGGGAGGAGGAGACTAGAGATCAGGAGAGCAGGTTATTATTATTATTATTATTTTGTTTTTATTTTAACCAATTATTTTTAATTTATTTTTATTTTAACCACTTGACCTCTGGAAGGTTTTATTATTAAAAAAAAATGTATTATTTTTTTTATTTTTTATTGTATTATTATTATTATTATTATTATTATAATACAGGATTTATATAGTGCCAACAGTTTGCTCAGCACTTTGCAATATAAAGGGAGACATTACACCGATACAGTTCAATACAAGAGGGTTAGGAGGGCCCTGATCCTGGGAGCTTACAATCTAGGAGGTAGGGGCTAGTGGTACAAAAGGTAATAACTGTGGGGGATGGACTGGTAGGCGGAATAGAAGATTCCATTATTAGCTGAGGGCAGGATAGGCTTCCCTGAAGAGATCGGTTTTCAGAGATCGCCTAAAAGTGAGCAGAGTAGGCAATAGTCTGATAGATTGGGGTAGAGAGTTCCAGAGGATGGGGGAAGCTCTGGAGAAGCCCTGGAGACAAGCATGGGAGGAGGAGACAAGGGAGCTAGAGAACAGGAGGTCGTGGGAGGAGCAGAGAGAACGGTTTGGGTGATATTTGGAGACAAGATTGGTGATGTAATTTGGGGCGGAGTTATAAATGGCTTTATATGTTATTGTTAATGTTTTTAATTTTATCCATTGGGCAATGGGAAGCCAGTGGAGGGATTGGCAGAGAGGGATGGAGGACACTGAATGGAGGTCAGTGGAGGGATTGGCAGAGAGGGGTGGAGGACACTGAATGGAGGTCAGTGGAGGGATTGGCAGAGAGGGATGGAGGACACTGAGTGGAGGCCAGTGGAGGGATTGGCAGAGAGGGATGGAGGACACTGAATGGAGGTCAGTGGAGGGATTGGCAGAGAGGGGTGGAGGACACTGAATGGAGGTCAGTGGAGGGATTGGCAGAGAGGGATGGAGGACACTGAGTGGAGGCCAGTGGAGGGATTGGCAGAGAGGGGTGGAGGACACTGAATGGAGGCCAGTGGAGGGATTGGCAGAGAGGGGTGGAGGACACTGAGTGGAGGCCAGTGGAGGGATTGGCAGAGAGGGGTGGAGGACACTGAGTGGAGGTCAGTGGAGGGATTGGCAGAGAGGGGTGGAGGACACTGAGTGGAGGCCAGTGGAGGGATTGGCAGAGAGGGGTGGAGGACACTGAATGGAGGCCAGTGGAGGGATTGGCAGAGAGGGGTGCAGGACACTGAGTGGAGTGGAGGTCAGTGGAGGGATTGGCAGAGAGGGGTGCAGGACACTGAGTGGAGGTCAGTGGAGGGATTGGCAGAGGGGGGTGCAGGACACTGAGTGGAGGTCAGTGGAGGGATTGGCAGAGAGGGGTGCAGGACACTGAGTGGAGGTCAGTGGAGGGATTGGCAGAGGGGGGTGGAGGACACTGAATGGAGGCCAGTGGAGGGATTGGCAGAGAGGGGTGCAGGACACTGAGTGGAGGTCAGTGGAGGGATTGGCAGAGAGGGGTGCAGGACACTGAGTGGAGGTCAGTGGAGGGGGGTGGCAGAGGGGGGTGGAGGACACACTGAATGGGGGCCAATGGAGGGATTGGGGGCAGAGAGGGAGGGGTGGAGGACACTGAGTGGAGGCCAGTGGAGGGATTGGTAGAGAGGGGTGGAGGACACTGAATGGGGGCCAATGGAGGGATTGGCAGAGAGGGGTGGAGGACACTGAGTGGAGGCCAGTGGAGGGATTGGCAGAGAGGGGTGGAGGACACTGAATGGAGGCCAGTGGAGGGATTGGCTGAGAGGGATGGCAGATATGGAACAGTTAGTAAGGTGGATGAGTCTGGCAGCAGCATTCATGATGGACTGAAGAGGGGATAGCCTGCGATGAGGTCGGCCAATGAGGAGGGAGTTACAATAGTCAAGGCTAGATATAACCAGGGAGGGAATAAGTTGCTTAGTGGTTTCCGGGGTTAGGAACGGGCGTATCTTGGAGATGCTGCGTAGGTGAAGTCTACAAGATTTGGACAGTGATTGGATTTGGGACTGAAAGGACAGATGGGAGTCTAGGATTACACCTAGTACCCTGGCATGAGGGGAGGGACTGATGGTTGTATTATTGATCTTGATGGAGAAGTCGCTGGAGGGGGCACGGGCTGGGGGGAATAGTATGAGCTTAGTATTCAAAAGATTGAGTTTAAGGAAGTGGAGTGACCTCCATGCCGAAATGTCACTTAGTAGGTTAGTAATGTGAGAGGAGACTGAAGGGGTGAGGTGAGGGGTAGACAGATAGATTTGTGTGTCATCACCATAGAGATGGTACTTAAAGCCATGAGAGTTTATCAAGTGACCAAGGGAGGAGGTGTAGATAGAGAAGAGAAGGGGTCCAAGGACAGAACCTAGAGGGACCCCTACAGAAAGAGGAAGTGGAGAGGAGGAGGCAGAGTTATAGGTAATGCTGAAGAAATGCTGCAATAGGTAGGAGAAGAAGCAGGAGAGAGCAGAGTCTCAGAAGCCAAGAGAGTGGAGTTTTTTGAGGAGGAGGGGATGGTGAACCGTATCAAAAGCCGCAGAGAGGTCAAGTAGTACGAGTATGGAGTAGCGGCCATTGGTTGGGATGAGTACGGAGTAGTGGCCATTGGTTGGGATGAGTACGGAGTAGTGGACGTTGGTTTTAGCAGTTAGTAGATCATTTGTGAGTTTTAGTAGGGCAGTTTCAGTGGAGTGTAGTGAGCGAAAGCCAGACTGTAAAGGGTGAAGAAGGTTGTTGTCGGTGAGGTGGGAGGAGTTCAGGCGATTGTAGACTAAGCGTTCTAAGAGTTTAGAGGTAAACTGGAGCACGGAGATGGGTTAGAAGTTGTTCAGGTCGGTGGGGTCCAGTGACTTTTTAAGTATGGGAGTGATGTGTGCGTGCTTTAGAGGGGAGGGGAAGGCACCATTAGAGAGGGAGAGATTGAAGATGTGAGTGAGGGGGCATAGGATGGAAGAAGAGGGTGACCGTAGTAGTTGTGAGGGGACAGGATCCAGGGGGCAGGTGTTGAGGCGGCTTCTGAGAACTTTTGTGACCTCTTCAGTAGTAGCGAGGTCAAAAGAGGAAAGTGTTGAGGGAAGTTTAGTATGAGGCATGCTAAGTGGGATGGATGTCTGTGCGGTGGAGATGCCCCTACGAATTGCATCAATCTTGTTTTTGAAATGATTTGCAATCTCGTAAGCAGTGAGTGAGGTACTGGGTGGAGGTGGAGAAAGTAGAGAGTTAAAAGTAGAGTAGAGCCAACGAGGACTGGATGACGAGGTATTACTAAGAGTGACAAAGTAGGCTTGTTTGGCAGCATGAAGGGAGGAATTGTATGTTAAGAAAGCAGATTTATATCGGGTGAAATCTTGGTGTGATTTGGTTTTACGCCACAATCGCTCCAGCGCACAACTATGTCGCTTAAGATTTCTGGTGTCATCAGTCTGCCAAGGTTGTAATGGTCGGGACCTGATGCTTCGTGTTGTTAGAGGAGTAGAGAGTCTGGGGTGGATGAAAGTGGACTGTTGTAGACAGCAGTGGCCAGGTCAGGGCAGGACAAGGGAGAGATTCTGTCATAGAGGTGGTCAGTTGCAGAGTGGAAAAGGAGCCGGGTTCAAGTTGTGAAGGTTTCTGCGGGTAATTGTTTGCTGCTTGGAGGGATAGGTGTTTGAAGATGAGGACACTGTGAAGGTGATGAGATTGTGATCAGAGAGATGAAAGGAGTTGTTTGTGAGGTTGTAGGGAGTGCAAAGATGGGAGAAAAAAAAAAGGTCTAATGTTCTCCCATCAGAGTGAGTGGAGGACCGTGGAGGACCAAGGAGGACCATGTTCATTGTGATAAGGCAAAAGATGAGCTTAGGTTGAAGAGTTGGGATGTAGCCGATTTGTTCACATTAATGGGGATGTTAAAATCTCCGAGAATGATAGTGGGTATTTCAGAGGAGAGAAAGTAGGGTAGCCAGGCAGAGACGTCATCAGGACACCGGTCCAGGAGGTCGGTAGATCACTGCAATCCTCAGAGAGATAGGAGAAAACAGCTGAATGTAGTGAGGCTCGAAAGAAAAGGATAGAGAGGGAGGGTTATGGAGGACTTGAAAGGTGCTCAGTGGGGAGTTCCTCCACCCCAAACTCGCTCATCCATGTCTTTATGGAGATGTTGGATAAGGAGACTTGGAGAGTTCCAATTCATCTCCATGGTTCTTAGTAGGGTTGAGGTTAGGGCTCTGTGCAGGACACTCAGGTTTCTCTACCCAAAACTGGTTACACTGTGTCTTTATGAAGTTGGAACCCACCCAGCAGCTGCACAAATACAAAGGGGTGGGGATGAGCATGACATCCTATAATGTCCATATTTGGTAAAAAAAATCAACAATTTCCTATTGAGTCCCGTCAATCCTGACGTTACATAATGCATGTCAGGATTGATGGTCCAGTCAAAGGCTAGGGGCAGGAAGTTGTTCCTTCACCGTCCAGTCACAGGCTGGGGACAGGCAGCTGCTCCCTCATTGTCCAGTCACAGGCTGGGGGTGAGGAGCTGCTCCTTCATTGTCCAATCGCAGGATATGGGAGGGGAGGTGACCAAGCTGTATTGTTTAATTGCAGGAGAAAAAAAAGTCAGGTCATGGAGCTCTGTTGCCTGGAAAAGGTACATACACTAAATTGCCCCAAGTATTTGGCCGCCGGCCTTTCCACACACATGACCTTTAATGGCTCCCCAGTCTTAGTCGTAGGGTTCAATATTGAGTTGGCCCCGCCCTTTCCACACACATGACATTAATGGCCCCCCCAGTCTTAGTCCGTAGGGTTCAATATTGAGTTGGCCCCGCCCTTTGCAGCTATAACAGCTTCAACTCTTCTGGGAAGGCCGTCCACAAGGTTTAGGAGGGTGTCTATGGGAAGGTTGGACCATTCTTCCAGAAGCACATTTGTCAGGTCAGGCACTGATGTCGGAGGAGGAGGCCTGGCTCGCAGGCCAGTCAAGTTCCTCCAAACTGGCTCCTCCATGTCTTTATGGACCTTGCTTTGTGCACTGGTGTGCAGTCATGTTGGAACAGGAAGGGGCCATCCTCAAACTCTTCCCACAAAGTTGGGAGCATCAAATTGTCCAAAATGTCGCCGTAAGAGTTCCCTTCACTGGAACTAGGGGGCTAAGCCCAACCCCTGAAAAACAACCCCACACCATAATAAACACTTTACACTTGACACGATGCAGTCAGGTAAGTACCGTTCTCCTGGCAACCGCCAAACCCAGACACGTGCATTGGTTTGCCAGTCAGAGAAACGTTATTGGTAACTCCAGAGAACACATCTCCTCTGCTCTAGGGTCCAGTGGCTTTACACCACGGCATCCGATGCTTTGCATTGCACTTGGTGATGGAAGGCTTGGATGCAGCTGCTCGGCCATTTAAACCCATTCCATGAAGCTCTCTACGCACTGTTGTTGGGCTCATCTGAAGGCCACACCAAGTTTGGAGGTCTTTAGCTATTGACTCTGCAGACAGTTGGCGACTTCTGCGCACTGTGCGCTTCAGCATGTGCTGACCCCGCCCTGTCATGTGACGTGGCCTACCACTTGGTGGCAGAGTGGCTGTTGTTCCCAGTTGCTTCCACTTTGTTATAATCCCACTAACAGTTGAGCGTGGAATATTTAGTAGCCAGGAAATGTCACGGATGGACTTATTGCCCAGGTGGCCACCTATCACGGGACCACGCTTGGAGTCACTGAGCCCCTGAGAGCGACCCATTCTTTCACCAATGTTTGTAGAAGCCGTCTGCATGCCTAGGGGCTGGATTGTATACATCTGTGTCCATGGAGGGGATTGGAACACCTGAATCACATGATATGGAGGGGATTGGAGCACCTGAATCACATGATATGGAGGGATTGGAACACCTGAATCACATGATATGGAGGGGATTGGAACACCTGAATCACATGATTGGGAGGGGATTGGAACATCTGAATCACATGATATGGAGGGGATTGGAACACCCAAATCACATGATATGGAGGGGATTGGAACACCCAAATCACATGATATGGAGGGGATTGGAACACCCAAATCACATGATATGGAGGGGATTGGAACACCTGAATCACATGATTGGGAGGGCGGGGCCAATACTTTTGGCAATATCGTGTAAATCCCAGGAATGGATTGAAGCTCCTTAATCCTTTTTTTGCTGCTTGCGGGGGTACAGCTTTCATCCTCATACACGGGAGTGACAAGATTCCCACCAATGTTCCGTGTAGAACATTTTATAAATATGATCTCGGATGTAATTCTTCCAAATAAAGGAAAACTTCCCTTTTGATATTGAAAAGTTACATTGTGTCGAGTGAAGATCTGTAATTCGATGTCATTAAAGACGACCTTTCCCTCCACAGGCAGCTAATTTCCTAGAACTTGCACAACATCTCAAATTTGTCTTCTTTGTAACCATGGCAACTGTATGTAGACGACGTTCCCCAGAACCCGCAAACCCCAGGATTCCCGTATTGGCTGAAAGCCCAAGTTTTGAGGCCAAATTACCGGCGGCTTGTTGCACGAACCTCGGCATCCCCCTCCACGTCTTTATGTGTACTGCGCTGGGCGTTCCGCTGAGATAAAAACTGCTGCACAAGTGGGAGGACGAGGGATCTCAGGGATCCTATTATACAATATCTGCATCGCCGTTCATCCATCGAATTGTGGGGATCGGGCAAAAAACAAACGTTCTGTAGGCTGCGAAAGTACTTTTTATTATGGACAGTAGATGGCGCTGGGGAGCATAGGAATAAAATCCTGCATTATGGCCACTA